TAGTCTCTAGAGAGACACCATTGCTCTTCAGTATTTTGGAGAGGTCCCTAACAGCAGACTTTCCCATGGCAATGCGCCTTTTAATTTCCTGGCTGCTGGTGCCAAGACTGTTGACTGTGGAGCCAAGCAAACTAAAGCTGTGTACCATCTCAATCTCTTGAGTGTTCTAAAAAGTCTTGTGGAAGAAGATGAAATTGTTTAAGATTCTTTCTAATTTTTTTTTATATTTTGTGTGTGATGTTCTTAATGCAGAAGTAAGTCTTTAATTTGTAAAGGAATTCTGTCCATTCTGTTCTATATTCTGGCTCTCCGAGACTACTACCAAATAGAGATATTAGACAGGAACTGGTCAATATCAAACTGTGTAGAGGTAAGTTTGTGCATTAGAAATCTTACTAAACCAATGAGATGGTATGACAAGGGTCTGGGTGTAACTGTAGACAGCAAAGGGAAGAGGCTGGTGGACCAGCAATACTGTAGAACACAGAAATGTGTGTGACTCTTCTATGAATTATCTGTTCTCTGCACTGACAACCACACTCCTTGTAGACACATTGGGGAATATGATACCTTGTTGATTTGGAATTTGTGGTATATTTTAGGATTCATTATTGTTTGAGGATGTGGCTTTTGTCTTTACTTGGGAAGAGTGGGCTTTGCTGGATTTTGTCTAGAGGAAACTCTACAGAGATGTAATGCTGGAAACCTACAGAAACCTGATCTCAGTTGGTAAGGAGGACTTCCCTTTTCTTCCCATTCCTCTCTAGCCCTGATTCATAAATGAAAACATTGGATGAGATGATATTCATTGTCCTCATGTAATTCAGCTTTTAGAGTCTCCTGTGAAACCAGAAATCTACATACTAAACTTGAGTTTGTATTTCTTTTCTGGTTAAAAGCCCCTTAAACGTGTTTCTAAGTATATGCATTGGCTTTGTACATGAGAGTTTGTAGATTAAAGTTTTACTGTATTACAAATTTGATTATCATTAGTTTGCTGTAAGTAAACTCTCTTCCTATAGATGCTGAATACCAAAGGACTAGCCTAGAGTTAAAGAAATGTTGCTTTCTGATGTCTTCCCTCATGATCTGCCTTTCTCCCTGAGCACCACAGATCAGACACACCACACTAATTTCTTCTCCTGGGACAAATGTACAAAAGCGTAGTTGGGGACTTACTCAGTGTGTTGTTGCAAAAGTGCACTTGAAATCCAAGATTTAAAAAAAAAAACAAACCCCGCATAAAGGGGAATTACATTTGAATAAAGTCTCTGGGTTCAGGGAGACTTAATTTCTACTTATATGTGACTTGTATGTTTGTTTCATTCCATCAGTCCTGACCTGCTAGAGAAAATACTTCTGAATGCCAAGGATCTGGAAAAGCTCTCGAGAATCATTCTTCATTTAAACACCACAGCAGATCTCACACAGGATGCAGTTCCTGTCTGTGTAAGGGATGTGAAGTAGGCTGCAGCTGTTCCCCTTACCTAAGAACTCTTGGGAAAGATGCTACTGAAGAGAAACATATGGATGTAAGAGATGTGGTACCACCTGTACTTCTTGATCATCTCACATGACACATAAATGGACTCATATTGCACAGAGGCCTTCTAAATATAAGCAATTCGGAAAAACTTGTAGTCTGTCAGGCCTCTTTGAACATGAAAAAGTTCAAAGTGTAAAGAATCTTTATCATAAGAAATAGGGGACTAGTTTTCATTTGTATTCATCCCTCAGTCAAATGAAGCCTTTTGAATGTAAAGCATGTGGGGAAACATTTTCTTTTTTTTTAGTTTATTTATTAATTTTAATGAAAGTTTACAGAGACTTGGGATGTCCAGTCATCATTGTTGCATTTCTCCCTACTCACCCCCTCCCCACAAAATCACTCCTCTCCTTGAAAAGAAAAAGAAAAACTCTTTCACTGTTACGCAATCCCCCCCACCCAGTTCATTCCACTATGCAGCCTTCACTCCGGACTTTTGTAATAACAAGAATACCCATTCATATATCACTTATAAATAGATCTCTCCTTCTTCTGTTTGAATGCAATATACATCATTCCTCCTCTCCTTTTCTGTATTCTCTCAACCCTGATGTCAGTCCTATTTTACAACAGTGGCCATATGCAATATTTGTCTTTTTGTGACTGAGATATTTCACTCAGCATAATGTCCTCCAGGGACATCCATTTTTTTATTATTAAATTTTATTAGTTTTAATGAACATTTACAGGGATTTTGGGTTTTTATTCATTCATTGCTGCACCATTCTCTCTACACTCCTCCCCAGTTTGTTCTTCCCCGCCATCTGAATGTCTGTTTTAGTTGTCCAATTGCCACAGTGCTTGTCAAAGTCAGTTCTGATTAATCTCCTTTGTCAGTGTGTCCTTTGCCATTCCCTATCACTCCTCCCTGAGAGAGACTTCACCCTGATTCATAAGGAAAGGGGGACGGCGTATTCTCTTAGCTACTTCCTGCTGGAAAGGGACGCTGTGGGTTTCAGGGTGAAGAGTAGTGAGAGAAGATCTTCACCCTGAAACCCACAGCGTCCCTTTTCAGCAGGAAGTAGCTAAGAGAATACGCCATCCCCTTTTCCTTATGAATCAGGGAAACATTTTCTAAGTCTTCATTCCTTAGTAATCATAAAAGAGCTCATGTTGTAGAAAGGTCTTATGAATGTCAGGAATGTGGGAAAGCATTTAGCCATTCCTTGTCTGACAATATCCATAAAAGAATTCACACTGGAGAGAGACACTGTAAGATCCTTTAAGATATGTGGAAAGGCTTTTACTAGTTCCTCACATTTCATTTTCATGTAAGAATTCACAATGGAGAGAAGCCTTACAAAAGCCGATTGTGGGAAAGTATTGAGTGGGCTCTCATCCCTCGCTGTGCATAGACTAATTCACAGTGGAGAAAGACCTTAGCGATGGAAGCGATGTGGGAAAGCCTCTGGCCTGAAGCACCAGTTGATTGACCGTGTTAGGACACACAGTGGAGAACAGCCTTATGAATGTAAGGAATGTGGAAAAGCATTTGCTAGGTCTGTGGACCTCGCTGAACAGAGAAGAATTTGCAATGGAGAGAAGCCTTATACATGTAAGGAATGTAGGAACTATTTCCATCATTCCTCTCTACACTTTGAGGGACCCATAGTGGAAAGAGATCTTATGACTGTAAGGAATATAAAAGAGTCTTTATTTCCTTTTCATCCCCCACTCAGTATATATAGATACACAGTGGAGAATGGCCTTACCAGAAATGCGGAAAAGGGTTTATCCAGTCCTCAGCCCTCAATCATCCTATGAGGATGCACAGTGGAGATCAGCCTTACAGGGTATAAGGATTGTGGAAAATATTTTTGCTATTCCTCAGGCCTCAGTGCACATAACACAAATCCATAGTGGATTGGAAAGCCGTAGCGGAGAGATGCCTTATAAATGTGAGAAGTTTGGGAAAGTCTTTAAAGTTCCTCACTGCACACATAAGAACTCAGAATGGAGAGCGCCTTTAGACAGTCCTCACACCTGGTGACACACCTAAGAACTCAAAGTAGAAGAAGCCATAATAATAATGTAAGGAATGTACAAAATCCTATAGACCGTCCTCAGAGCTGGGCAGCCATGTGACAGATGGTTGAAAAGGGTGGCCTTAATTGTAAGCAGCAAGAGGAAGTGATCAGAAGGTGTGTTCAAAACAATAGAATGTTTAAAGAGGATACAAATTCCTGCCCGGGGTGGCAGGCAGAAGGCAGATTGTGGCCAGACATCCGCACTGGGGCTGAGCCCTCACTGCTGTGGAGACCAGTCCATTGAGAAGACTTGGGCTGTTTGCTGACACCTCTCTGCCCTCCTAGCATTTCCAGATACCGCTGAGATTTCCCCAGACTCGGGGGCCCCAGGGGCCTGCTCATCCCTCCTGTGCCTGCTCCTCCCAGCTGCCCTGTGTCACCAGCAGCCACCTGACCTCTCCTGGTGGGGCAGGCTGGAGGAACATCCCTGGTGAAAGGACGTCGACCTTAGCCCCAAAGCCTCCACAACCAGAGGTGTGTGTGTGTACCTGTGGGTGGAGCTGTGGACGTGTGCCCCAGTGGCGAGTGTGGCAGGAACACTGGCCACTGTCAAGTTGTATGCACCCTCTCACGAGGACAGTATGAGAGTCTGGTATAATTTGGCTTCCTGAGAACAAGTGGGAAATACTTCTGGAAAGAAAACTGACGTATAGGGCAGCCAGAATATATTTTCACATGGTTGTCAGTTCACTTACCAATATGGACACCTTTCCCAACATTTTTCCTCCTGCTAGAGACAGTGGACTAACTCATTCTCAGTCTGAGTCCCAGAAAATGTTGATTCCTGAAAGGTTATGATGTGAACACCATAAAACAAATGATCAGACTCTGAAAGTTGAACATACAAGGTTACAGGACGAGTACAAAAAGTCACAGAACTCAAGTGATTGTTAAATAAAAAGCAAACTCACCAGGAAAAATTTCAGCTGCTGCTTGAAGAGCTAAAAGAGGAATTAGTAGGAAAAACTAAAGATTTGGAGGAAATGAAGCTCCAGGTAGTTAACTCCACAGAAATTGGAATTACTAAGAGCCCAAATACAGCAAGAATTAGAAACACCAATGAGAGAGCGTTTTCGGAATCTGGATGATGAAATAGACAAGTATAGAAATGAATATAAAAAGCTTCATTATGAACATACATTTCTCATCAGAATTTAAACAATGAAGAATTTGGTTGTGTTTTAGAAGAAAAAATGAAATATGAGTCAGAAATTGCAAGACTAGAGAAAGATAAAGAAGAACTACATAACCAGCTGCTTAGTGTGGACCTCACAAGACAGCAAATGGGTGGAACAACTGTTCGAAAAAAAGTCCATTTATATCAGAAAGTAAAAGGTTTGGAGGGGTTCACAGCCATCGCTCTCTGAAGCCAGTGCCGCCAAGCTCCAGCCAAGGAAGGGAAAGGTAAGTGAAGAGGTCTTGATACCATGGCTCAGACAAAGCAGACTGCCTGCAAATCAACCCATGGGAAAGCACCCAGGAAGCAGCTGAAGGCAAAAGCCACTCACAAGAGCACGCCCTGTACTGGCGGGGTGAAGAAGCCACATCGCTACAGGCCTCATCCTGTGGCACTCCCTGAAATCAGGCATTATCACAAGTCCACTGAATTCCTGATTGGAAAACTTCCCTTCCAGCGTCTGGTGCAAGAAATTGCTCAGGACTTCAAAACAGAGTTGCACTTTCAGAGCGCAGCCATTGGTGCTTTGCAGGAGGAGGCAAGTGAGGCCTGTCTGGTTGGCCTCTTTGAAGACACCAACCTGTGTGCCATCCATGCCAAATGTGTAGCAATTATGCCAGAAGACATCCAGGTAGCACGCCGCACACGTGGAAAGCATGCTCAAGAATCCACTAGGATGGAAAACAGCTCATTCTTTTTTTAAAAAAAATCTCTTCTTCCTGTTATTGGTAGTTCTTCAACGTTAGATAATTCTTTTCCATGGATCAAAAGGTACCCAAGTATATGATTGTGAACGGAAACGTAGGAGGCAGAAATGAGGGATTGGCAGTTTTTCCATTTTCATTTGTGTGTGAATTTCTAATATAAATGTGGGGATAACAAGCCTTAACTGCAAGTCAGTGAACAAGTTTCAGCAGTTCAACTGTGTAACAATTATAAATAAACCTGTTAAATTGTTCTGGACAATGCCAGCATTTGGCTTTTAAAAAAAAAACAAGTACATTTCTTATTGATGGCAACTAAATAGTGTTTGTAGCATTTTTATCATATCACTATACTTTTCTAACTGAGTTGTCCTACATGCACGTATATATTTTTAATGTCCGTCTTCTGTGCTGTTCTGTAAGTTTGCTATTAAACTATTTTTTAAAAAGTTTGGAGGCTGAAGTAGCAGAATTAAGGGCTGAAAAAGAATTCTGGTGCTCAGGTAGAAAGTGTCCAAAGAATCCAAGTGCAGCAGTTGGCTGAGATGCAGTTAGATCCCTAGAGGCTGAAAAACAGTCAACTAAACTACAGTCTGAATGTTTGGAGAAAGAACTACAATCAAGCAATAGCAAAATACTCTTTTAATCAGTAAATTGCACAAAGCTGAACAAGGAGTAAATATGTTAGCTACTAAAGTTAAAGAACTTAAACATTCAAACAAACTAGAAATAACAGACATCAAACTGGAGATGGCCAGAACTAAGAGTGAACTAGAAAGAGGAATAGGATTCAAAGTGAACTGGATGGATTACAGTCAGACAATGAAATTCTCAAATCAGCTGTTGAACACCACCAAGTGCTAAGTGCTCTTAGTTGAAAAGGTTCGTGAGTTAATACGTCAAGTACAAGCTGCCAAGGAAGGTTATCAAAAATTTGTGTAATTACAAGATGAAAAGCCAGAGTTTGAGGACAGATTAGCAGATCTAGAGAAAATGAAAGGAGAGCATGATGTCTGGAGGTAATCTGAAAAGGATCGTGTGAAGAGAAATTATGGGCTTCACAGATGGCAGAAGAGTCAGAAGGGAACTGCAGAGTATCAGGTTAAAACTTCAACAGCAATTCGTTGATATGGAAAATGCAGAGAAAGTGAAAAATGAAAATTCTGATCTCAAACAGCAAATCAGTAGTTTGCAGGTCCAAGTCACCTACTTGCACAGTTGGAGAATAATTACTGACTTCAAACCAAATGCTGAAGGAAATGGTGGAGAGGTTAAAACAGGACTGCCAGAATTTAAGAAATGAAGTGGAAAAAGGACAACTAGAAGTTGGAAAAACTTTGAAAGAGAAACAGGTACTCTGTTTGGAAGAAAAGCATAAACTTCATGAGCGTATCACAGACAGAGAATAAAAGTATAATCAAGCTAAAGAGAAACTACAGAGAGCTGCAATCGCCCAGAAAAAGAAAAAAAATCTCTTTATGAAAATAAAAGATTTCAGGAAAAAGTGGAAATTTTGGAGGCAAAGAATTGGAAACAGAAAATCAGGTGTTAAATAAACAAAATGTTCCCTTTGTTTTTTTTTCTATATTTTATTAATTTTCATAAACATTTACAAAGATTTTGGGTTTCCATTCATTCATTGTTGCACTATTCTCTCTACCCTCCTCCCAGTTTGTTCTTGTCCAAATGCCACAGTGCTTGTCAAAGCCAGTTCTGATTAATCTTCTTTGTCAGTGTGTCCTTTGCCATTCCCTATCACTCCTCCCTGAGAGAGACTTCACCCTGAGTCATAAGGAAAGGGGGATGGCGTATTCTCTTAGCTACTTTCTGCTGAAAAGGGACGCTGTGGGTTTCAGGGTGAAGATCTTCTCTCACTACTCTAAAGGGCCCCTTTGGCAGTAGGAAACACATAGACTATTATGGAGATTGATTTTGGAATTCAGATGCACTCTTATTGATTGTGCTTGGCCGTACATGTACATATCCTTCAAGATGTATCATGGAGGTGTTGCAACCTAGAAGACACAAATTTGACTAACAAGTTATAAGTACATGAGTCCAAAAATTATGGAAAAGTAAAAGAAATGTTCCCTTTGAAGAGTATACAAGGATTTAAAAAAACAAAAGAAAAGACTAAAGGACATATAGAGGAGGCATAATGAATTCCGAAGTTTAATTTTGGTTCCTAATGTGCCTCCCACAGCATCTGTCAATCCTGTTAGCTTTCAGTCATCAAACATGGTTCCAGGCATGGAACTATCCTTTCCTCCTTATCTTCAGGAGGAATAGCATCAAACGGAACTCTCTCTACTGCATAAAAGGCTAGAAGAACTAGAAACAACACAAAGAAAACAACTAGAGGAACTTGGATCTCCTATGGAATGACTTTCTTGGAGAAGAGGCAGATGAAGGGGTGAAATCATTAACTCAATAAAGCTAAAAGTTTTAACCTAAGTGGCATTTAGATCTTCATTATGTTCACCAGAATGCTTGATTGCGCCTCAGGGAAAGGTACCAGCAGCGTACTGTGTGTGTCATGAGTTCAGGGGTTTTATACTAATGATAAGTAATAAAAGAAACCATTTCAGAGATATTTAGAAAATATATTGAAAATCCTATAAAAATGTTAAAAAGGGGGGGAATGGGAATTAGGAAATCAGGTTTTAAAAATTATTCTGTTAACTTTGGGATGCAGTCTTTGAGACCAACCTGCTGTCCTCCACAGATCTGTAATAAAGTGCTTATGGATATTGTAAAAAAAATATTATTCGGTTAACTTAGTTGAATTTTGAGGGTCCATTTTATTTAAAATATGCCCAGGTCAAATTCTGTCTTCCCATAATTTTTGGACTCATGTACTTATAACTTGTTAGTCAAATTTGTGTCTTCTAGGTTGCAACACCCCCATGATACATCTTCAAGGA